GCCACCGCCACCGCACCACCAGAAGCTCGTTTTCAATTAAGCTTCGCCCAACTTTTAACTCGACGCCCCTTGCCCCGGGCTCCGGGTCACCGTGTCAGGTCGAGTGCGGTTCTTGTGGTGTCAAGGAATTTGTTGGAGGGCGAGGGGACTAGCAGGCCCCCTGCAGCTCATCACTACACAAAGGAAGAAACAGCAGGCATAGAGATAGCAAAAAACATAACTGAAATGATCCGAACAAGATTGCAAATTTTCGGCTATCCAAATTATAAATGCTCTGCCCTGGAGCATCAAACAACAACTCCGCGATGGTGAGGGAAAGAAATTCTTCAATTTACTTAGAAATCTTCCCTTCGGCAAGGTATTTTATGATGTAAACGAATTTCTGACTTCAACTGATGAATAGCATTCTACCTACTATCCTTAATTTAACATATTACAATTATAATTTATATTTTTAATTATTGCACATTGTAATTCCTATTATATTGTTCTTTGACTTGTGCCATAGCTTTAATAATGGGGCTTTAATGTACGAAGTAAAATAAATAAATAAATAAATAAATAAATAAATAAATAAATAAATGCACACAGTACGGAAAATTAACCGACGTTTCGTTTTAATATGAGGAGTAGAATACGAAGTAACCCATGTGACACCTGAAAATTAGGAAATTAAGTTGGAAGAAGATAGGGTTCATGTCCCTTTTCACAGATCCGGTCCCATTCTAATTCGACCTTACATCTTACTGCAAAACGTCTAACGACGTAGATGGACTAATTTCGTCTAGATCCGTCCGTGAAACACTCTCTTCTCCCGATTTTCAACTCCCCCGAAACATTTCCATTTAAACCCCACCGAGCTCAACTTGAAGGATTGATCCCTAGAAACGTCGCCTAAAAGGAACCAGCCGCTCCCGTCTTAACTCAGATCCCCACGCGGGCAAAAATTCGAGGCTCGGGACCTCTGCCGCGCTAACAAAAACAACCTATCTTACAAAGCCTTTCGATTGGAGATACGTCGTTCAGACTTAGGGAGTTGGCGGAGGAAGTCGTATAATCCGCTTGCGGTGGCGTTCCGAATCTGCCGCTCAGGCTCGACCGGTGCTAATTAGCCCTTTCAGTACCTTTCAGGCCCTTTCAGCGCCGAGCACAAAAGCTCGCTCTCCTCGGCAAAAACGACGTATCCCGGTGGTTTTTGGATTAGGGTTAGGTGGTTTTGGCTGAGAGTGTCTTGATGCCGGTGATATTTTCCTTTGTGGAATTAATTAGTTGCTACATGACTCCGCCACAGTGCGCGGCGCGGCGGGACCGCAGTCTTGAGTTTATTTGAAGATGGATCACCAGGTTTCCTCGGTGCCGGCTAATAAGCTCCCGTCGTCAGGGACGGGAAGGGATTCGGGTTCAAGTGGGTGGGGGTGCTCGGGATAGACCGCCGGGGGATGACCGCTAGACATTAGAAATTCACGCAGAATAAGCGGAAATTCACGGTATCAGACTTAAAATATTAATATCAGAGCACCAAAGTTGAAACGTACCGAAGTCTAATTTTTGGTGTATTTTCCGAGGAAAAACGCTAATCTTTGTAATTGACGTTACTAAAGGGTGATCAATTGTCTCGGATTGCAACATTATTTGACTTTTTACTGACTTTTTAGAGATGATAAATATACATGAAATTCACCGGCTTTTAATTTTTTTTTTTTTGTTGCATTAATTCTCGTAAAAATTATTTCCGTGAAAAATGTTTAAAACGAGGCATCTTTAAATTAAAATTATGACTGAATGAAAAAAATGTCTAAATTTGGCAGTAAACTTGTCTGACCTCTCCATTGGGAAAAATTGTCTGACTTTTCTGGTTTTTCCCTGACTTTTCAAAGACTAGCCACTCTACATTAGCATTTCAAAACTCTCCAATCGGGGATCTGCGTGTGCAAAACAAAATCGAATAAACCTGTATTTTCTCATTTCAAAATGTAGTTCACGTGTTCACAGAATTGTAAATTCGTGGTCTCCTAGTTGTATCGCGAAATGTTGTTTAACTTTTTTTTTGTAAAAACTAACTTTAGACCACCCAGCATTTTACACGCTACAAATCCGGAGCAACACAATTTTCATTCCTGGAAACTACGAATAAAACTCCCGATTTCCCGGTAAAGTTAAGTATCACATTTGTCCGTGCAGTTGCATATGCATCCCTTTCATTCTGCCGCACTGAGGAAAAACGCCGTATGAGCATTCGAGAGTTGCCAAATTTCCTCTTATAAAATATTAATTCCTGAGGAAATACATATATGAATATGTTTCCTTGATATCCTCCGAAACTTCACGAAAAGTTGCGGTCAAAATTTTCCAAAAAATCGGAAGAAAAATATTCACAAATTCAGCAGGAAATTCGAGTTTTTTTTTCAAAGCAAAGGCATAACGCCTGAAGGCTCATACGATGTTTATCCTTAGCAAGCCAGTATTTAAGGCCCAGATTTGCCCATTTGCGTGCGTTTTGCATCCATTCTGAGTAGTAAATTTTGATCAAAATCGCAACCTTGCTTCGCCTATTCTGTTGTGCTTGGGAAGAACACTGTATGGACATTCGAGAGTTGCCAAATTTCCTTTGATAAAACATGTATTTTTGACGACATTCATGCATGTTTTTCCTTGACATTTTCAGAAATTTTAGATTATATTGCGTACAAAATAGTCTGAAAATTTTGGAGGAAAATATTTACAATATCCCCAGTATATTCGAGTTTTATCGAAGGAAATTCGGCAACTCCTGACGGTTCATACGGCGTTTTTCCTTAGCACGGCAGTGCTCATGACCACTAAAGCACGATGAAACGGCAAACGCCCGTTCCAGCGTTGCAAATTGTGAGATAACTCTCCGATCACTCCGAAACAAAGCTATGCGAATGATGCAAATTTTGTGCGAACTCCGACAAGTTGATCCCTGCTAGCCTCAGGGGTTTCTGTGCAGAGCAGCGTGCTCATTCGCATGAAAGGCTCCAAATATCGCTAATACCTGCGAACAACGTGAAAAATTCCTTTGGCTCCAGCCATCCAAACTTTCCGGGGCTGTGCATTTGGACGCTGAGCTCGCGATGAGAATGTTACCAGGATATCTATTTCTGCATGCTTAAGGGAAAATAATTTCCTGACTTTTCCGGGTTTTCTTTGATCAGAACACCTGAAATTCTGGTCTTTTTTTTTCAATAAGGGAACCAATGGATGGCATAGAGTGTATAGGAGCAATATTTACAATTATTTAAATATATAAAAATAAAATCAGGAATTCATCTCTACGTCGTGATTTCTCAAAATGTTGGATCCATCAGTCGGAAAAATTCATTGGATGTGGAAAAATTGAGCGAGAGGACAACTCCTTTCTTGTCCAAGAACAGCTTCCTATTTTACTTATCATTTTTAAGTTATTTTCCTGAATTTTTCAGATTTTTCTGTTTTCCAGCCTGATGAACACTGCATTTACGTTCTATCTTTTAACTCTGCAAGTATGTTAATACTTCATAAGCTCGAAGATTAAAGGACGTAAATATTAATGATGCGTAGATTTTGGAGAGGTTTTCTTAGCGAGATTATCCTTTCCTTTAATGGCACTTTCATTGAATGATTTTAATCGAAATTGAAATTTGAATTCACATGAAACAATCTTCTAAAAACATAGTATTTTCTACACCCATGGTGAATTAGAAAAACGCCGAATAAGTACCTAAAGATATTAAAACCACCTCTGATGTCATCAAAATCATCTTAAAAGTAGTTTTGAAATAATTGCTATTTTTTTGGCGAATTCAATCTTATGAGACCAACTAATAGAAAAAAAAACCAATACTAAATCTGTTATCACTGTAATCACTGTTATCACAAGTATTTTCCACCGCCGCTTATTTTGTATGCTTGTTGCGCTTATTCATCTGCCAATTATGTAGTTAAAATTCTTGTTTAGCTAATAAAACTACATGTAGTTAAAATTCAACAGCTTGTTTGTTACCAGTACGTAGTTTGGCTTTCCTATTTGCCCTAAGGATGGCTCCAAGGCGATCCAAAAAGGCTTTCAGGCTTTGACTCATTGCCTATGTAAGTAATAATTAATAAATGTATAGCACCATGATTCCTATTGTTATCATCATTCTAAAAGTAAAATCAGTAATCAAATAAATGTATCAAAGCTGAATGTACAATGCGAGTTATCTTATTTTCATTATAATGCACGTTTATCCACACTTCTTCTCTGCGTTGTGTGCCTATGATTTTATTTTTAGTTCAAATCGTACATTTTATATCACTTTTATTCTCGGTTTCTTGTATATTTTCCAGGTTTGCTCGAGATCATCAGTGAAGAACGGGGTCGTGTAGGGGAAGGAGTTGTGAAGCAGTAAAACACTTGTGAGGAAAATTAACAAACAGTTTAACCGTTTAGCACTGCTGGTGCAATAAAAGGTCACTGAAACTGCTGGAAGCATTATCACAATGAAAAGAACTCGCGAAGGAGACTGGGAATAAGCGAAATCTATTCTCGGGCCCTTTGGAAATTCAGGCGCCATATGTTACAAATGACCCACTAAGTTTTGACCTAGATTTACGAGATCGCGCAATTGAATCCACAATACTTGTTCTACAGAGAAAGGAGGGGCAAAAAGTACACTCGAAGAAAAGCTTCGTAAATACACATGTTCTGAAATTCACAACGCGTTGGATACCTCATGGCCTTTTTGAAGACTATTAGAGCACAAGCAGAGACTCTTGGTAGCATCATGTAGGATTTTGTCCGAGAGCTTTCAGAACATTCGAAAATTTTGAAAATGTATAGACAGTTTGAATTAAAATTGTTCATCCGGTGAAATCATTATTCTCCTTTTTCCTATCATGCTAAATCTGCACGTTCCATCGATATTATTTTTTAAACATTGGTCGATTTTGACTGCATTTTTACCTGTGTTGGCTTCTTGGTCATGTACTAAGACTATGTAATTAGATAAGGTCCTTACCAGGAGTCTGAAACAAACGAAGAAATTCACATCAGTCAAAATTTTTACAATCGTTATTAGCTCAACATTTTCAAGGATAATGTAAAATTTTGTGAAAAATCGTCAAAAAGTTATTCATCAAGTGGCTTTTTTCATGCCACTCAAAGTTCAGCATGTTCAGTCCGTCTTTTTCAATGCAGATAACCCAGATATACGTCAGATACTGAAGGGTGATAGAATGCAAAGCATCCTGATTTTACGAACATTTTTCTTCAAATCCTGATGAAATCGGGATTAAACCCTGATTGACTTCAAATCCTGGTAGAATCAGGAAAATCTGGAAAATCCTGATGCTAGACACCCTGTGAAATTTTCAATATTTCGTTTCTTCCTTACGTTTCATGCCACCCTGCTTCAGGACCAAGATGCTGGAAATCTCCGGGATCCGGAGACCTCCCGCGCGGACGCGGGCGCGGGCGCGGCAGGAGCATAGCTTCGCGTGCGAGGAAGTGATTTACACGCGGGCGAGCACTCGCACTCGCACTCGCAACTCGCAACTCGCGGAAAGATGAAAAATGTCCCCGACCAACTTCCCCTCGCGCCGCGCCGCCCGTTCCAAGTTTATTAGACCTGCAACCGTGTTGGTACGCACTCGCGTTTGTTGTGCGATTCCTCCGCTTTTCCCCGGCGAGGGCTCCCGGGAACTGGCACCGCTCCAGGTCGTAAGATATTAATTAACCGGGTATTAATGATCATCGTCGTCGATTTCCAGACCGTGAGATGAGGACTCGTGATACGGTGGGATATGATGTTTGGAGCTTGGACTTCAAAACCGCGTAAAACCTTTAGATTTTTTTGGAATTTTCGCGAAAGTTGGACACTTCGTCGTCTCCCGGACGAAGGAGCGTAACTCCATACCAATGTTGCCAGATTGACTCAAACGATTAATTCATTTTACAAAGTGTACCTGTGCAACTTTTATCCAAAATTTGTCTGATTTTTGTATGAAAGCTAAAGAAAAATCAGTGAAATTTTCAGTAAATAATTCTCAAAATTCTCTCAGTAAAAATAGAATATTTTCGAAGGGGAGTTTGGCATCAATGTAATGGAGTTGCGTTCTTTCGTGATGAAGACGACGACTTCCCAGGGGTAGACGAATTGACATTATGACTTAAAATTCTGAGATGGATGTCTTTAATTGAAACATTTTTTTGGAATTTGAAACTACCACTTTTCGCTATTCCATGAGAATACTCATCTGCATTAGAAAAACTAATGGCACGAACAGTGTCTCTAAAATGAGCCGTAAATTGTACTTCCCTATTGCAAAATGTAATTCAGTTATATGACATCAGATTTCCTGATATGAGGCCTTATATGTAACAATGGCAGATGTGAAAAATTACCTTTTAGAAACACGCTTAAAAAACTGTTTTGTTCACACAAAAATTTAATATGTTTGGCTCTGGCATAATGTACAGACCTCGAAGATCACATCTCAAGTATTTTCTCAAAATTTTCTCCATGCCAAAACAGTTTTTTGAATGTGTTTCGAAAAGGTAATTTTTCACATCCGCTTTGGTTACAGATAAGTCCTCATATGCTGTTTTCCAGTTTATGCTGATGGTAGACACCCTGTAAAAATAGTTCAGTTGCTCTTTTTTATGACCTTAGTTTTCCACCTCATGACACCGGAAGATCACTTACGAGAATAACGCTGATAGTTCGAAGAGCAAAAATAATTTTCCCCATGAGCGCTGACGCGGGAGAACTTGGCTAGGAGCATAGCTTTTAAAATAACGAGGAAAGGGACGAGCGGGGGACGGGGAGAAAACCCTCCCTTGTGATAGCTGATAGAGAGGATGGTCGGATAAAAACTTCTCAAGTGAAGCATTAAAACTAGAAGAAAGTGTTCAAAGATTCCTCCCGGATACAGTTTAAACTTCCAGACTTTCTCGCCCCGCACCTTTCCGCGTCCCCTGGCTTTGACAATCAAACCCTAAAATAATGTCACCGTAGGAGTTTCTCATGCGCAAATTAAATTATCCGCAAGGGCGAAAGTTTTGAAAAAGTTGCACCTCCGGTGATTTTCAGGCTGGATTTCAGCGATGCAGGGGCGTTTAAATCTCCGATTAAAGGCTCGGGTACTTGTTGCGACGTGTCTTGGGCTATGAATGCCGATAACGTACGAGAAACTAGGGATCGTTTTCCGGAAATATTGCCTTTTTGAGCATTTATAATGTTTTCGGCCTGACGAATAGGGACTCTTAAGTGCAAAAGGGACACATTTTCACGAGAGCGATATTATTGTCGTGTGGGGTTGAAAAATCACATTTTCAAGTTTGCTGGAAAACACTGTCAGTGATCATCCAGCATAATCGAATCGTCAGGTACAAAAGCGCCAGATATAAAAATACGGAAAAAGCAGTAGGAGCTGTATGCACCAGCCCGTCTTTAAATTGCAGATTAATCGATAATCTAATTCATTAATTCATCGCTTCAATATTTTAGAGCTCTGAGATTTATAAAGGGTCAATTAAAGCGGTTATTACCATTTTTCTTAGATTCTCATTCTTGGCGCTTGAGCCCTTTTGAAACTGACCGATTGAATTGAGGCGTTGGGTGCAGAAATGGCATTTCTAGGATGCGGTGTTTCAAATTATTAATTTTTAATTTATATTTTAAAGAAGAAACTGTCAGTGAATTTTCTGGCATTTTTATTTTTCAGACTTGTAAGATCACGAAGATAACTCACTAAAAGTTTCAACTAATTCCATGCATTTGCTTTAATTATAATGAATGATACGTTATAGCGGAGGCTCTGAGACACCGTAATCCAGAAATGCTCTTCCTGCACCCCGCGCTTCAATTATGAACGGTTGATTCTTATTTGTGTGGATATTTGTGTGGATATTTGTGTGGATATGTGTGTGGTTATTTGTGTGAATATTTGTGTGGTTATTTGTGTGGATATTTGTGTGGATATCGCGCGCGTACCGTTGACTTACAAGACGCTTTTTAACTACTAGGTGTATTTCCCATGAAAATAAACTTAACTATAAAATAAAATAAAAAGAAATGTGGTTTAATTTGCGGTTCAAATTTTAGGAACACGGCGCATATCTTAATAAAAGTTATAATTTAACCACAATCATTATTTATCGCCAAATAGCTACCCGGATGACTGTAGTCTTCACGTTTATCCGAAGGAGGCTGTTTTAAATTAAATTTCCACCCCTCGGGATGGCGCTTTGAAAATATCAGGCCGCGTTACTGAGGGAGGTAGAAACATTTAATAACATCTTTATTGCAGAGGGCTGAATTTTGCACATATTAGAAATCGTTTGTTTTTAACGAGGATTAGGAAATTGTGATATATTCGACCATATTTCTTGATTTTCGTGAGCAAATTTTATGAAGATCATCCTGTGGAAAGAAAAATGTATTGCCTGCCTCGTAGCAATACAAACTTGGGGCGTGATGAGAAGTTCCGACGACTACTAGGCCTTCAGAAATTTTTATTACTTGCAGTTAGTCAAAACATCATAGAAATTGGCATAAAAAAAACTTTTAAAAGAACACGTCATGTAGTAAATACTATTTTCATGAAGTTTACTTTTCTTCCCTCCATTTACTCAATTTCTCAATTTACCCTAATATTTTGTGCATAAAGCCTGTCGTATGAATTCTTTCAAAAAAGGTTTAACACACCCTCTGAATAATTCAAAGTACAAAACTAAGGGAATCGAAGGCGCCGAATCGTAAAACAAAAGGCACCGCGCATTTAGCACCCGTGAAACAGGATTCCTGGAATCCTATCACCGGGATGGAAAGGATACGTCGGGAAGGGCGCTAAAAATATGAAACTGATACAGCCATCGACTCCCGGAAGGGGAAGGTGACATCGACGAACCCTCCTCCGCGCCAGTTAAGACAAGAGCCTGTCATGCGGCATTCAATTTGTCTCCGAGAATGAGGAGCTAACGCCGGCTCGCCCCACCTCTCAGACACCTCGGAATTGATAAACACAAATTTTATTTATGAAAAAAACGGGGACGGAGTATCTCTAAGCCTTTGAAAGCCATTACGGACAAGTTTGACAGTCCATTCGGCGAGAGCTCTCCCGGGGATTGGCCTCCTTTCGCAGTTGCCGAATAAGCCGGGGAAAATTCACCTGTTTTATGGTCTCTCGATCGCCGGGGAATGGCGATTTTTTGACCGTGCGTTTAAGTCACTACGCAGGGTTGCCTGTTCACGCGCAAAAATTCTTGTTTTTTCAGTTGGATCCTCAATGGTAATGGTAATACTTCAATATGTCTAATCTATCCACAGATGATGTCTAAACTTGCAGAAATGGATACAAGTATCCCTAAGAGACTGTCCATATGTTACAATTGTTACACAGGGTGTGTAAATTAAGGGAGATCTCATAAACTCTTAAGAAGGAAAGAGCATGGGTTCAGCCTCTTATGACATTGGTTAATTTTACAATACAAAGTTGAGAAACAAAAGTAAAGGACAGGGAAATGTATTAAAATTTCAACGTTCCTCATTTTTTTCTTTTCTTTTTTATAAAAGGGAAACTCATTAGGAACTTCAAAATTATCCTCAACTCGATATGATTTCAAAGGAATTTAACAGGTCTATAGATCGAGGGTACGAAAATCGAGAAGAGCGCCGACGAATTCTCGGAAGATCTCCTAAAAAATTATTCTGTGCTAAGTCAGCATTTAATACACCCTTAAAGCATGACCTAAAAATAGATGGAAATAAGTGTGAATCGAGTGGATATAGATAAGCACTAAATTATCTGCTTTCAAAATGCGATTTTTACTCAGGTTTGACTATGAAGGTTATCACTCGATGTTTTATGCATATTGGACCCTGACGTACTACAGTGCTTTCAATTTTAAAGGTTAATTCTTTAGCATCAAGAAATCAGCAATAGGTTGGAGATGACCAAACTCTGACCTCGAGTCTAACGGTAAACTTATCTGCAAGACGTGGCAACGATGGGCCGGACTTATC